AGGATACTCATGAAATACATTTGCTAGTAGTAAAAGGAGAAGATGTTAATGATGAAAATAAAATTCCAGCAGATGTACAGGGACTACTTGATGAATTCCATGATGTAGTTCCAGAGGAATTACCAAATGGACTCCCTCCCATGAGAGACATACAACACCATATTGATTTTGTTCTAGGTGCCAGTCTACCTAACCTCTCACATTACAGAATGAGTCCTAAGGAGAATGAAATCTTACGGGAGAAGGTAGAAGAATTATTGAAAAAAGGGACACATTCAAATCAACATGAGTCCTTGCGCAGTACCTGCCTTATTAACACCTAAAAATGATGGCAGTTGGAGAATGTGTGTCGACAGCAGGGCCATTAACAAGATCACCATTGGGTACAAATTTCCTATTCCCAGGCTGGACGACATGCTTGACCAACTTAATGGAGCTATAGTTTTCTCAAAGATTGATCTCAGGAGTGGATATCATCAGATCAGGATCCGTCCCGGAGATGAATGGAAGACAGCTTTCAAGACTAGAGATGGCCTGTTCGAGTGGTTAGTCATTTCCTTTGACTAACCAATGCACCCAGCACATTCATGAGGCTAATGAACCAGGTATTGCGCCCCTTCATTGGTAAATTTGTGGTAGTCTATTTTGATGATATTTTGATATACAGTAAATCTATCACTGAGCATGTGGGACATATTAGGGAGGTCCTGAAAACATTGAGGGAAAATAAATTATATGCTAATTTGAAAAAATGCATATTCATGATTGATAATTTATTATTCCTATGATTTATTATAAGCAAGGATGGTGTGAAAGTAGATGAAGAAAAAGTGAAAGCCATTAGGGAGTGGCCAACCCCATCCACTGTCACAGATGTCAGGCGTTTTCATGGGTTGGCAACCTTCTATAGGCGCTTTATTAAGGATTTTAGTAGTATCATGACTTCCATTACTGAATGTTTGAAAAAGGGTAAATTTCAATGGGGAGAAGAACAAGAGCAAAGTTTTGCTCTCATAAAAGAACAATTATGTTCTGCTCCTGTTCTTGCTTTGCCAGATTTTAATAAATTATTTGAAGTTGAATGTGATGCCAGTGGAGTTGGCATAGGGGCTGTATTGTCCCAAGAAAAGAGGCCCATTGCTTTTTTCAGTGAAAAATTATGTGAAGCCAGAAGAAAGTGGTCCACCTATGACAATGAGTTTTATGCTGTGATTAGA